ACCTATTGGTCCGTGTCTAAACCCCAGGGGTAGAGCCACGCACAATATTTGTGTTTAGGAATGGGTCATCTTAGAACTTGGGATACTTATTCCTTCTACCCCAATGATAGCAACTATTGATTTTGATGCACCCCCGACTCCCATGGGGGGTTCCACACCCACTTTTTTTTTGTCTGTAAATGATCTACAGTTTGTAACGGTGTATTTGATTCTCCAAAAAGTACGAACGATGAACGCCGAAAAATAGGGATAAAGTGATTTGATGATCGGGATTCATTTATTTCACGCATATTTTTTTATTCAGCTGTAAAAGATTAGAACTACTGGAAAATTAACAACAAAACGAAACGTCTATTTTAAAGGCCATTTTAAGCCATGTCTTCTATAGCGTACAATGGGGTAATGCCGGCCATTTTAAGACATGTCTTCTCTTCACTTAATTCATTAAATAGGGTAAAATGGGGTAATGTCAGCCATTTTAAGCCATGCCATCTGTTCACTTAATTCATTAAATAGGGTATAATGGGTAATGCCAGCCATTTTAAGTCATGTCTTCTATTCACTTAATTCATTAAATCGGGTATAATGGGGTAATGTCAGCCATTTTAAGACACGTCTTCTCTTCACTTAATTCATTAAATAGGGTAAAATGGGGTAATGTCAGCCATTTTAAGACATGTCTTCTATTCACTTAAATATTCGTTTGATTTCTTGTATGAAAATAACAATCGTTTTGTTATACGCCCAATTTGAAATGTGGTCTTATATTGTCGCTCCCGTCCGTCGGTTGATTTTCAGCAATTTCCGATAGTTACTACCATAGTTATGGCCCTTGATCTCTTTGAACTATCTTGTTGACGCTCTGGAAGCTAACGTTAATATCCAATTGACTTTAAATTTATATACAGTGTTTTTAGGTCATGAGACACAGAAGCCTGTTGGTTTTCAACGATTTCCCAAAATTACTGCCAGACTTGTCGCCCTTGATCGCTTTGAAATATCTTGTGAACACTCTAGAGGCTAAAGTTAATATCCTATTATACGCACTTTTTAGGTTCCAGAGACTAAAGTTAATATCTGATTTAATTTAAATTTATTCACAGAGAAAGAATCCTATTCATTTTCCATAATTACTGCCAGAGTTAAGGCTCTTGATCACTTTGGGAAATCTAAAGACTAAATCCATTTATTTTGTATATTGATCTTTACTATTTAAGCCTATAAATCCACTAATTTTTAGATAATAATGTATTCAAGATATAGACCTAATAGACCAGTGGTTCTCAACCTTTTTTGCCAACGGCACACGTTGGAACACCAGGCTAAATATATATCAAAAATACTTGAATTTTGCAAAAATAAAGTCATAGACGGCATACAACCGTAGACAGAGACTAGTCACAGACACATAGAATGACTCAAACTAAATAAAGTAAAACACAGCTATGAACTTACCAGTAGACACCAGTGAATATTAAATTGGGATCACGTGATTTTTCGCATTTTCTTAGTGTGCCGTTCAAAATTTCGTTTCACACTTAGGAAGATCTCACGGCACACTGGTTGAGAATCACTGTAATAGACCCATTGGCCTACTAATAGCAAATCCTCGTCGTTTGCTGAACACTTTGAAAATGTGTAGGTCTATATATATTATTTAAAGTTAGGTTTTGGGAGAATGAGGTATCCCCCCCTTTACAAGACAATTTTGTGAACTTTATGGTCTAGAATCGAAGAAGAGTGTTTGAATTTCTATTTTCTGCCAGGTTTTGGTGAATATTTATAATTGTGGGGCGGAAGGTTCAAGAAGTAGACATATATGTATTAGGTTATCGACAACTACAATGACGTCACTGCCTATAGATTCCTTTGACCATTCCTAGCAAGAAATCAAAATGGTCAACCCAATTCAATATTAGCCTCTATCATCCAGAAAAATATTCTACGAATATTAGTCTGGACAGGTTGTCAACATTTGAGAAAAATTGGCTAGATAATCCGGTCTTTCATTATCTTAAACACTGTCCAAGGGAGGTTACTCCTCTTAAAACAAGATGTTTACGCCCATGAAATTAATTTAAGAATGCCATTTCATAAAATCCATTTGATTGCATGCGAGTTCAATATCTAACACTCTTAATTTTTTTATTGTAAAATTTATCTCTTCATGGGCCATATCTATGCTTTTAAAATTAATCCTAATTCGTCGTCACGATTCATGTTTGTTTATATTAATGCAAGAATTATGGGATTTATTGTGGAAAGGGGCGCAAGTCTTACGTGACTTGGCTAAGAGACTGGATAATTAACCACATTAAAAACCAAACTCCCGGTTACGCATGGGCAATGGACTTTACGTCAAATATTGACAACCTTCCCAGACCCTCCGTATGTTGAAGACTAGGAGGTTCTGGGTGACCGAGACTAATTCAATATCGGCCTCTGTGTGGATATAGAGATTAAAATCATTGGAATGTTCAATAGAAATGTTAGTGGCTAAGAAATGTTATGGACTTAACAATGAAGTTGACTGGGAAGAAATTTGATTTATTTTGAAGAATAATTTAAGTTGTTTCCCTTATATGCTAAATTGCTTTTGTGTAAAGTTCACAAGAAAAGAAATGGGTTTAACGTCCTACTCAGACAGCGGCGCTACGGCCGACACTTATATATGGAATTCCAACTACTAAGGGATCTTTTACGTGCACGCCAATGTGTACACGGGAGCTCGGTTTTTCGTACCATCCTACCGACTAGACAACTTTTCTAACCAGGCCTGCCTTCCGTCCTGCACCGCTGACAAAATGAAATGAAATGGATTTTAACGTCCTACTGTTCTGCTCCGAACTGGGATAATGAAGACGGGCATACGCCATACAGTGTGCTTTGTTGATGGAAATTTTGCCTTGACAGCGGCACTACGACCTACTCTTATATGGAATTCCAACTGCTAAGGGATCTTTTACGTGCACGCCAATGTGTACACGGGACCTTGGTTTTTCGTTCCATCCGAACGACTAGACAGCTGTCCTTGTCAGGCCCTCAGTCCTTGCACCACTGACAAGAGGAAACCAAGCCGGAATATCCCGATGAATTTTCTCTGCCAACACCGGGGTCGAACCCGCGACCACCAGACGGACTCACTTAGCCACAATGGCTTCGTGTCGGAAAGACATTTGAATCAAGATTATTCTACATACAGACCTCTCACATTGTCGTCATAGCTTTAATAGATAAAATGCATATTACAATGAAATTAAGACGTGTACTGAAACGTTTGATGGATGTCATTACGAGTATACAAGATATTAGAAATAAAGGCCTACATTTCCAAAAAAACAAAAAACAAAACAATTAAAAAATGATAATGATAGTAGTAAGTTTACTAAAACGTTTGACTTTATGTATTTTACAATTTATTAAAGATCATTCTACACACAGTGATCTATCTACTTCATAGAGATCCTTGTACTTCACACTTCGAGAATAGACCTCTGCATTAAATGGCCGCCATATCCAACAATTAGTATACTGTTTCGGAATTCGGCCCTACTCCGGTTCATATCTGTTATACACAAAAACACTAATTAAACCTTTTCAATACATTCTTCCCGAAATTCTCGAAATATACTTAGTGTTTTCGATTAAAATCGTCGATTTAGGACAGAAAATGTCTGTCAATTAGCTAAGTGTCTATTCTCAAGAGGAGTCAACTGTAGACGGCTTAAGTTGAGTATGATACAATTAACCCTTAAACACCTGGCACAGGTAATAATATTGACTGTCCTGGTACCTGATAAAAATTAAGAGGCTGTGTCTGTGACAGATGATCTATGTTCAGGTGATCTTTTGATATTATTAAGTCACCTCCAGCCTCATGCATAAAATCTGTACAAGATGAATTTAAAAATAAAAACATGATTCTATGTGAAATAACCCTGGGGTAGTGCTACAGCCTACAACTTATCAAAAAGATGAATTTAAAAAATATGGTTATATGTTCAGGTGATCTTTTTGATTCAAACCAACCATTTAACCACAAACTAGCGCGTGAATAAATTAACATGTTATTAGAAAGATCAATCTCTGTTGGTGGTAAGTTCTGAAATATTTGTTTGTTAATCTATCTAAGATGCATTTAAAAATTAAATAAACAAACATGATATTAGATGACATAATCCTGGGTTAGTGCAGACTACAGTCTCAGGCATATAATCTATATAATAATATGAAGTTAAAAATAAATAAAAACATGACTCTATATGACATTATCTTGGGTTAGTTCTGTAGCCTATCAATCTGTAAGGAGATTTTCTCAGTAAGGTCGACATCATCAGCGTTAATAAACTGTTTTAAACGGAACATAGCCCGAATATGTCCGTTGTTAACAAGTTCTGGGTTAAATTCCTCCCGTTTAATCAGAACTAACTGACCATTCCCTTGTTTAATTTTATGACAATAGGATTCATTTAATTCAAACCTTTTTAAAGGATCATCTAAAAGGGATTTTGAAATAACGGCTAGAACGGTACGACTGTTATGTATATTGGTAATATTAGCATGGGCAGTTACCTCCCCTATTATACCATCACGGAATGAAATGTAAGATTTTATCAAATTTCGATCAAAATATGGAATAAGATTCGCTATAACCCACAATCTATCGGGAGCATGTTCATCATTTACCAGTACAAATATATCATGTTGGTTCTGCTCATCCTCGTGAATTTCCTGCGTCCATTTCCGTTTCATCTTGGGTACAATATAAATATGATATGACGCCATTATCTCGAACCGGAAGTAAATAATGCCAATAAGTAATAGAATGGCCAGAAAACCAAATATACCCAACACAATACTTATAGTTACAGAGTTAGAAACTCGACAGTTAAATTCATCTAGTTGTGAATTAACAATAGTTATTCTCCCATCGCCATTAGCTGTAGAACAAGTTATATTAGATCTGTTTTTAATGTTAGGTTTTGATTCAAACCAACTATTTAACCACAAACTATCACATGAACAAATTAACATGTTATTAGAAAGATCAATCTCTGTTAATGGTAAGTTCTGGATAGTTTCTGGAAGATATTTCAGCCTGTTGTTGGCAAGATTCAAATACTTCAATTTATCAGCAGAACTAGCAAACTCTGATGAAATATTTGTTACATTGTTATCTGAAATGTCCAGATGAACGACTCTGCCCATATAAGGAAGTTCTGGTAAGATGTCAATGGAATTGTTCTGAAAGTTCAGAAATAATTTCTCATGAAATGGTAAACGTTTTGGCATTTCTTCAAGTCCAGCATTCTGACAATTAATGACCATTCTATCAGCTTCTGGTTGATCCTGACATAAACATCCGGATGGACAGGAATCGGTGATGTTGCATACAAAATCAGATAAATGTTGATGTACCAAACCGCGCTGATCCTTTAAATTGGGCGGAGTCTTACAGATAAGATCGGTCTGTACCCCATTTAGGGCAGCCCACAATGTTTCTATAGCTGTAAATGAATACAAAGCTGCTATTGTGTGTATTCGACAATCACAATGCCATGGGTTACCCCCCATGTATATTGACCAATACAGGAAATTGCTCATCAGTGATGTCAAGGGATTTCCTATGGCATCTAACATTTGTGTGTCCAAAATCTTCAGGTTGTTGTTGTTCAAATATATTTTACCAGGCCCATACCTTTTGCTCGGATCCATTGTGAAGTTAGATTTGTTGGTAAGTTTTGTAATTTTGTTATAACTCACGCTAAAGTAACAGAAGGTATGTGTTATGCCCAAAGCCCAAACTACGTCAACCTCTGTCAAATTATTATGAACCAAGTTGACTTTTTTTATTTTCTTTAATCGATTATGAAAGACGCCCATCTCTATTGTATGAATTCTATTTCTGGATAAGTCAATGACGCGTAATTTGTTCAAACCATCAAAGATTCCAGCTTTTAAAACTTGAATTTGGTTGTTTCTTAAATCTAAAACCACTAATTCTCTCAAACAAGACAACTTTGGTAATTGTGTTATTGTATTGTTTTCAAGATCTAGATACTGTATTCTTGGAAAATTACAAATATTTACTGGAATCGAGGTCAAACAGCCATGCCGATGTGTAACTTGAAAGTTTGAATCATGGGACACATTCGCAAAAAAGTAGCTGGTCGAATTTATTTCACAAGATTCGTTGACGTAGAGTCTGTTTAAAGCGCGGAAATTATATTTGCAGCAATTGTTACAAAACTTCCAAAGGTTGGCTGCTTCATGTCTCCGAGACAAGGGTCGGCATTCTGGTGGGCAAACAACAAAATCTTGAGACTGTCCCATGACAAGAAACAACAAGAAATTATTGTCTTGAACTATTAACAAAATAAAAACTCTTGCGATGAATAATCGGAATCGATACATCCTGTTTTACAACTTGTAATGTTATCTGAAATTTAAATATTTTCCTCTCACAAAACTGTTTTAAATGTTATGTATTGTCACAAGACTGTTGTTGTAAAATATGTCTCTAGTTCATCTCGTTTCACGAATTTTCTTACAGTTTTACTTTCAGGATCTAACAGTTTTACTTTAAGGATCTACTTAGCAACATCTGACAGTTTTACTTTCAGGATCTGGTTAGTGAAAGATAATCTTGTTTTACATCAACACAGTGTAACAGTGTTATTTATTCCAGATCGTCTCGTATTTAATGATAGTAAATTCCCAACCCTATCTGTCTGTTAATTATATCAATTATTGTACACCACTAGAGGTGAAATAAACTTAATCTAATAGAGTGAGATTTTACACTAAATTATAGATTGCTTATTACAACACTACCATATTCGACAACTTTTCACACATTGTATTTCATAAGTTTAAAAACAATGATTTAAATATACAAGCAGCAGAAGTATTGGACGAATGCCAGGTTTGATAAACCTCATCACCCAATGAAAAACTGTCATTCTGTTTCTGATAATGTGAATGGTTAATTGCTTATCTTCCGTGTCTGTAAAACTAGACATCAATATGATATAGCTTCTTCCTTTTCTATCATATTTATAAATTTAGGTACCAGATATATATGATTCAGTACTTCATATTATACACCCAAATTTCAGTATGTTTGTATTATGTCGCCACCGTGTCCGCCCGCCATTCAAACAATTGGATTTTGATCGCGTTAGAAGCTGCAGTTTTTGAAGCATACGTTTTAAATTTGGTGTATAGGATGGCAGAAATAACAGGAGAAACTCCGTGAACATTCAACAGTCTGCGGGGGATCACGTGCTTAAGTGGGTAAGATGCTGGCTCGCTATCCTGGAGGTCGGGTGTTCGATTCCTGCATTGGCCGAGAAAGTTCATCCAGATTTTCCGGCGTGGTTCCCCCTTGTCAGCGATGCAGGACGGGGGGCCTGACAAGGACAGCTGTCCAGTCGTTCCGATGGACGAAAAACCGAGGTCCCGTGTACACATTGGCGTGCACGTGAAATATCACTTGGCAGTTGGAATTCGAGATAGGAGTAGGCCGTAGTGCCGCTGCCCGGGCCAAATTTCCCCCATAGCACACTGTATGGCGTATGCCCGTCTTCATTAGCCCAGTTTAGGAGCAGAACAGTAGGACGTTAAACCCCATTTCATTTCATTTCAACAGTCTGCGACTATTCGAACCCGGGTTACAGGCCCTTTTCAAAAGCCTTGTGAACGCGATAGGTGCTACAGTTTTCGACAGATTGTTTTAATGCATGCCCAAGCCCCAGGGACAGATCCACACCAAAGTTTTGGGTGCATGTGTGTCTCTGTCTGCTACAGGCCCGTAACTAGGGGAGGGGCGGCGCAGGGGGGGGAGGTTGATTAATTTGTCGACCATAGATATATATTGTCCGTTAGTTTTACAGCACCCCTGAGAAGACCCCCCCCCCCCCATTGTTTTGAGCTAGTTATGGCCCTGTTCTTAGTGTTCTTAACGGGTCATCTTGAAACATTGCGTACTTATTCCTTCTACCCTAAGGATGGCCCCTGTAGTGTTTGGTGGTCCCGCCCCCTCCAGTACAGAGCTACGCCCATTTCTGCTTTTTGTGTCACTTACAAGCGGTGGGTCTTAATGGCATATTTATTCCTTATCCCCTAAGGACGACAACTGTTGGTTTTGGTGCATGTCCATTCTCCATGGGCGATGTCACGCCTACTTTGTTGTTAAAATACTCTATAGTTCGCACGAATTAACAGATTTTGATCCAATTCGGCATGACCACTTGTTCCAATAACCGGACTGTACTTTTTCATATTAGCGCATGTCCAATCCCCAGCCAAGCCCAATTTTTGTGTTTATCGTCTACAGGCCGCAATTATGAATGGATCATCTTGGAACGTTTGGTGCATGCCCACACTCCTGGGGTACAACTACGGTTACCACGCCCATTAGATCATCCTGAAAATAGGCAAATGTATTCATTATACTCTAAAGACGGGGGCTATTGATTTTGGGCACGCCCGACTCCCAGGGGCTGTTACACACCCGTGTTTATACTAATATTTTGTCATTGCAGCCATTTAATATTTCATTCTCGTCATTTTAAAAAGTATCATATCAACCAAAGCAGGAATGTAGACGTATCATGTGGACGTTCCTTTACGAACTGGCTCTTATCGGAAGTTGTCAGCTGACAGTTCTTATCCCTTCAATCAAAGCAGGAATGTGGACGTATCATGCAGCGAAAGCGTTACACTTATTTTGTCTGCGAAGAATGGAATTGGGTTGACACTAGTTCCTTTAGGAGCTGACTCTGACCGTTCCTATTTAGCTGCGATATGAAAATACGGTAAAATTCTGTTCTCAGGTCATTTTGGAACCCTTGCCTTCTATTTTTCATCGTGATTCTTTATTTTCGTAAAATGAATTATTTCTTACCATATCTGACACAGATTGTTAATAATTCAAAATATTTTCAAGTAAAATTTAGCGATTAAATTAACATGCGGTCTGCGCATGTTCGAGTCTCGTAATGCCTGTTCAGTGTATGTTTTTAATTGCAAAATTCTACTTGAAAAAAATGTTGACTTATTTTATTGTCAATGTGGCAAACAAAGAGAAGAGTCACGTTGAAAAATAGTCGGCAAGGATTCTAAAATAGCTTTAGACCAGCTTGTTCCCTGATCCGTTTTCATCCATTTGAAATAAAATATTGTTCACACACACAAAAAAAAAGCTTTTACATTTAAAATGCATCAAATTATAATGATAATTCACAAAGTATATTACGTTTGATGGTGTACAAGATATTAGAAATATAGGCCTACATTTGCAAAAAATAAACCCAACAATTAAAAAAGCAATCAACAAACAATGATAATAGTAAGTTTACTAAAACGTTTGACTTTATGTATTTTACAATTTATTAAAGATCATTCTACACACAGTGTTCTATCTACTTTATACTTCCAGATTAGATCATCTCTGTCCTAAATGGCCGCCATATTCAACAATTAGGATACTGTTTTGTAATGCAGTTCTATTCCGGATTATATCTGTTATACAAAAAACACTAATTAAACATTTTCAATATATATTTCCCAAAATTCTCGAAATAATTCGTCGATTTCGGACAGAAAATGTCTGTCAATTAGCTTAGTGTCTATTCTCAAGAGGAGCCAACTATAGACAGCCAAAGTTGAGTATGATTTAAGATATAATACAATTAACCCTTAAACACCTGGTACAGGTAATAATATTGACTGTCCTGGTACCTGGTAAAAATTAAGAGAAAAGTATTGTTTTTGTTATTGACTGTCTCTTGTGACAGATGGTCTATGTTCAGGTGATCTTTTGGTATTATTGAGTCACCTCAATATAATCTAACTAAGATGAATTTCAAAATTATATAAACAAACATGATATTATATGACACAATCCTGGGTTAGTGCAGACTACAGTCTCAGGCAAATAATCTATATAATAACATGAAGTTAAAAATAAATAAAAACATGACTCTATATGACATAATCTTGGGTTAGGTCTGCAGCCTATCAATCTGTGGGGAGATTTTCTCAGTAAGGTCGACATCATCAGCATTAATATGTCCGTTGTTAACAAGTGCTGGGTTAATTTCCTCCCGTTTAATCAGAACTAACTGACCATTCCCTTGTTTAATTTTATGACAATAGGATTCATTTAATTCAAACCTTTTCAACGGATCAACTAAAAGGGATTTTGAAATAACGGCTAGAACGGTACGACTGTTATGTATATTGGCAATATTAGCATCGGCAGTTACCTCCCCTATTATATCATCACGATTTTCTATAACCCACAATCTATCGGGAGCATGTTCATCATTTACCAGTACAAATATATCATGTTGTTTATGCTCGTCCTCGTGAATCTCCTGCGTCCATTTCAGTTTCATCTTGGGTAAACTATAAATGTGATATGACGCCATTATCTCGAACCGGAAGTAAATAATGCCAATAAGTAATAGAATGGCCAGAAAACCAAATATACCCAACACAATACTTATAGTTACAGAGTTAGAAACTCGACAGTTAAATTCATCTAGTTGTAAATTATCAATAGTTATTCTCTGATCGCCATTAGCTGCAGAACAAGTTATATTAGATCTGTTTTTAATGTTAGGTTTTGTTTCAAACCAACTATTTAACCACAAACTATCACATGAACAAATAAACATGTTATTAGAAAGATCAATCTCTGTTAATGTTAAGTTCTGGATAGTTTCTGGAAGATATTTCAGCCTGTTGTTGGCAAGATTCAAATACTTCAGTTTGTGAGCAGAACTGGCAAACTCTGATGAAATATTTGTTAAATTGTTATCTGAAATGTCCAGATGAACAATTCGGCTCATATAAGGAAGTTCTGGTAAATTGCCAATGGAATTGTTCTGAGAAATAATTTCTCATGAAATGGTAGACGTTTTGGCATTTCTTCAAGTCCAGCATTCTGACAATTAATGACCATTCTATCAGCTTCTGGTTGATCCTGTTGGCAAGATTCAAATACTTCAGTTTGTGAGCAGAACTGGCAAACTCTGATGAAATATTTGTTAAATTGTTATCTGAAATGTCCAGATGAACAATTCGGCTCATATACTATTCAAAAAAAGTAGGGGATATTTGATTTTTAAGTGTTATTAAAGTCACCGAATGAAACTGACGAAGAAACAAATGACCAAATGAAATGAAGTTCACATTCATCGATTTATTCCAAATGATCGTTAGACTAAGTAAGGCACAGACTGACCATTATAAGGGTAAAATGATACCCGGGGTCAAACAGCAAAGTTACCACAGCATCACAACCAAGTCAGTAACGGGTAAAT